GGATGCTTGGGGCGGTAAAAGAAAGGGACCGGATGTTGGGGAGGGTTGTGGTGGGGAGAATGAACGGGTTCTTCTTCGTCTAAGAACAGAGATGGAGGAAAGGGGAGTAAGCTGCGGTTGGGAAGTAGGCCGAAGCCAGCGTCTAGGACGGCGGAGTAGGCTTTCTGCAGGGGCAGACCATGATGACGGAGTCTGTGTGGACGAAGTGGTTTGTGGATTAGGAAGAGGGGTAACGGATGGAGACAAAACCAGGGGAGGTAGGAGTGGTGAAAATGGGGGTGGTAGAGTAGTCGAAAGGTGGGTAACAGACGGAGATAAAACCAAGGGAAATAATGGCGATGAAAACGGGGGGGATGAAGTCAGGGGTGGTGAAGTGGCTGAAGCAGAGACAGGGGGGGCAGTCGTAGGTGAGACCTGACGAGATGGCTCTTGCACATTCTTGGGTGCACGCCTCCAAGTCCGCCCTGGCGGTTCCCTGCGTATGAGTGTCTTTGACAAAGCAGTCGAATGGAATTTCCCTGTTATTCGTTATCCTAGTGCTGCGTCTAACGTCCCTGCACACCAGCCGGCGGGAGTGTTTACGCGGTGGCCACGGATGCCATGGAGGAACACACCGAGACCAAGAGCGACACAGCAGTTGCGGTGGCCACGGATGCCATGGAGGAACACACCGAGACCAAGGCGACACAGCAGCTGCGGGTCGAGTTGCTCCTGTAGAATCAATCGTAGAAGTAACCAATGCCGATGAGGAAGAGGCTGCGAACCGAAAAGGGGCATCCAAGGTCACAAACGGCATGGAAGGGGTTACTACGACTGATGAGGACGCAAGTGCGACAGACACAGGTAATGAAGAAGAGGCTGTGATAGGTGTGACAGGCGCCGGTAATGAAGAAGGGGCTATGATAGGCGTAGTCCGAGCATAGTGTGTGGATACCCAAGAAAGTGGGTGGTGAATAGACCATCGAAGCATGCTGCGGAACCAGTTGGAGAGGCGGGTCGCATGTGCAGGGTACCTGTGTTGACGTTTACGAATATAGGAAGTCCAACCGTTCGCAAGCGTTGTTGGAGAGTGCCCACGAAAAAGCATGCGGCGTGTGAGCATCGCTGCTGCAGTTTTGAAATCATACCAATTGTTGCAGACATACTCAAACCTAGTGAGTTGGGGTCTCCTTTCATTCGAGGCCATACTGCTCTGACGGTGGTGGCAGATGTCCCCATGAGAGAACATCATCGATCAAGCGGTATGTGAACACATACCGTTGAGTTGCGCGAAGATCACGCCGGTAGAGGTCATCAACAAATCAAGCCTCATCCCAATACAACATAAAATTAGCTATCTCCGGACTAGAATTAGTCCTCATTGGGATGCCAATCATCTGATGTCACAAGGTGTCGTCCGCTGCATAAAGATACGTGTTCGTGACAATGAAATGGAGATGTTCAAGAATTTGGGAAACGGTCAAAGTGTTCGGTCCGGTATCCACCGTCCACTCCCCTTGACGGGGCCCTTTAACAATCATGTTAAGGGTAGGAGGATATGCGCCCCCTTGTGTGTGTTGTTGTAAGGCATATTTATAAGCTTCCTCAACCACTTTTGATACATTATGACAAATACGGTTACGAGGAAGATTGGTATACATAGTTGTGAAATCAACAGTGCATGGCCACGAAGAGAATATGAATTACGTTTGAGATCAAGCATCACCTCCTCGGCGCTTTGCACAATCCAGCACCGTCTCACACCGCTTTGCTGATACAACAGATTATCCTTCTCACGGAGAGTTTCAATGACTCCTTGTAGTGCAACGCTAAGGCGGACAGAAGCGACGGTAGTACTGGCCAAGGGTTTGTGGGGAGGTCGATGGTGGACTGCATGAACAGTTGGCGCACTTGATCGAGATAGCTGCGGCAGGGAGAGATTATTCCGCTTTGTGACGCCGACAATACTGCGAAGCCTAGGGAGGGATTTGTGCGCTTTAAGTGCATAGTACAGATATGGCAGCGTGTCTTTGTGTGTATATCCTCACCGATCATTCTAGAGTGTGTGATGTTCGAGAACATCTGCGACAGAGTCAAGAGGCACAACTTAGGTAGGGTTGTCCAAATGAGCAGATAGATGAGACAGGTACCAATTTTTACAACAGATTGCCAAGTTATGTGAGGTCTTGTCGACAGGAACAATAGCAAAGTGTTGTTGAAGGTGTCTCAAAGCCTTGTGCACTGAGTGAAGGGAATGCGGTTGTCGTGTGGTAGTGTTGGGGGATGAGATGTTGCTTTGGCAACGTGTGAGAACGGTTGAGCGCCACTGCTGCAATTTGTTAAGAGTGGCCGACCGAAGCTGCTCGGAGACCGACCTCAGGTATTTAACAATATACTCGTCAAGGCGGACTCTAACAGCCTGAAGCACATCAGCGATTTGTCCATTAAGACGATACTTCGAGCCTTCATGGAACAAGTCGTGGAGGCGATCATCAGGAATGATGTCGCAGTCGGTTGTAACAACATGGTCGTGGGGTAAGTGTGAGCAGTCAGGAAACACTTTCCCACATTGACAATCTGAGGGGTCAAGCAGGGAGATCCCAAGTGTGACGCTGAGCGCAACTTCCGTGAAATTAGAGAATTGGACGCGAGTTGGCGGCAACAAGTTTATCACAGATATGCGGGTGTGTTGCGGCATCAGCGTCAGGGTGCAGCGGAGCACTTGGGGCGCATGCAGGGCTTCTCGCAGCCCCGTTACCTGAGACACCTCGTGCATGTGCACAACTTTAATATGATCAAGAAAGGCATCTCGAGACTGAGCGGTGTATCGCTGGCGGACATGTTGATGTTTCTGAATCATGCATTCAAGCTGACGGATATGCGCAGTCATATCTGCGTTGGAGATATTATTGTTCAACAACTGCAGCAAGTGGGCATGCCAAACTGATGCTGCTCGCTGGATGACTGATTCCATCTGTTGTGAATTGCCAGCATCAGCCTGTAAGAGAAGATTGTGCAATGCAGACCGGACTCGAAAGTCGGGGCCTGGACACAAATCAATAGGTTGGGGTTGTTGATGGTCTGACGGACGAGCGCCTATCTATGTCCACCGATGAGGACGGCGTTGTCGTCTTCTTGTAGGCAGGCGAGCAAGCGGCAGGACAGCGTTGAGACCAGTTGGATGAAGAGTCCACAACCGGCGCACCCAATAGGCTTCCCGTGTCGTAGCAGCCCATCAGAAAAGGTTACGGTCAACAAGACCTTGCGGTGTATGGTAAAGGGCCGAGTCAATGCGTTCCAAAGGCCACACTGCAAAATTGAAGGGGTTTTGACAGGACATGACACTGTAGAGTCGACGACGCCGAAACTCCGCAGCAGAACGACGAACATGCCAATGTTCCTGCAAACGTTGATCCGAGGAGTGCATAGTCTGACCTATGTAAAGACACCCGGATGGAATATGAACGATGGCATAGATAACTCCCCGGACAGAGAGAGGGTCCATACCTAGTTGCAGTGCCTGCTGATCAATGCCTCTCAGTTGCAATTCGAAACGCTCTGTTTGAATCGTCGTGTTAAGTTGTTGCAATTGCCTCTTGCGCCAAGTGCCTGCAGAGTAGAGGTCAGTATTTCAGCAAAGATGCCAATATATATATCGTCAAATATATATATATCGTACAATGGGCCAGCGCGGTTCCACCCTCGTCAAGAAAAGGGAGATTGGAAAGGCACAAATAATCGATGGAGAGAGAAGTATTCGAAGCGGTGTGAGGAACTCGAGGTTTCACCTGACTCATATATATATATATCGTCATATATCGTCAAATAGAACTGCCCGGTAAACCGTAGGCAGAGAGGGAGAAGAGGACAACAAACGAGGGGCTGTGACAAACTGTTTCGTCGGAGTTTCACCGACTCATCAGGAGGCTGAACCCTCAACATATATATATAGATATAGATATCATCAAACACAGCTGCCCAGTAAATTGTAGGCAGAGAGGGAGAAGAGGACAGGGTTTGTGACAAACTGTTTAGTTGGAGTTTCAACCGGCTCATCGGAAGGGGCCAGCGCGGTTCCACCCGTGTCAGGAAAAGGGAGATTGGAAAGGCACAAATAGTCAATGGGGAGAGAAGTATTAGAAGCGGTGTGAGGAACTCGAGGTTCAGGAGATTGAGCAGTTGTGACAGGTGAGGTGGCATGTGAAGAATGATGTGAAGAATATACATCATTTACACACCCACACATTCGTCCGTTTATTCGATCCACGAACAACATTGGTTACTACTCAGTGCAATAATCCGCTCAAATATGCTTATGTCGTCAGCCACGGGGGCCACCCACAGGCCAAAATTCAGCCTCGACAAGACCCTGCGTCCGATTGTGCGAAACAAAGCCCTCGAATGAGGCTTCAAAGGCCCTGCACCCAACAGTTGACCGAAGTCAACTGTAACTCGAAATATTGCGGCTCACGAGTCGAAGTTTGCACGGACCCAATCCAGGCAACCGATCAGACACAGACTGTGGCATACTGCGTAGCCACACAGGCCCTGCAGGGCCCGTCCCGCACTTTCAGCCTAAAAGCCTAGAAAATAGGGCTTACAAGCCCCGGTCGTTTCAGCCTGAAACTGAAAAACGAGGGCCTGCAGGCCCTATTCCGTTTTCAGCCTATTTCTGGGCCTTTCAGGCCCAAATGCTTTTCAGCCTGGAACGGAGGGCCATTTTCAGGCCCTCATCGTTTCGACTGACCCTAGGACTCAGGCACAAAAACAGGGTTTTCGGAACAGGCTATCTTAGCCTGTTCCCCACGACAGCTCGAGCAGGAGCTGCAGCTGCAGCCCCTACCTCCCTTCGGCATTGGCAAGAGCAGCCTCCTGGACTGCCTCGCCTACAGTCAAGAGGCACCCGGTAGTACATAGGAAGTTCCCATGCACTTCACGGGTAGGTAGTTGGACAGTAGGCACGAGTAGTCTTCAAGATTCAGCGCAGCACTCAGGAGGAGCGTTGTAGGGAGTAGCTTAGCGCTAGCAGTAGTCTTCAGCAGTGCCACGTCAGCAGTAACAATGCCACGTCACAGTGCCACATCAGCAGTGCCTCGCCACCATGACGGGCACAGCTCTGGGCATGCCAGGCCAACTGGCCAACGAGTCACTTGCCGACTACAAACAGCGGTTCCAGGCTCAGCTCGCTCTGATCGAGGCTGAGGAACAGCGCCAGCTGGCAGCCGAGGCTGCCCGCCTACAAGCTGAAGCAGCGGCAACAGCTGAGAAGCAGCGGCTACAGGCTGAAGCAGACGCAGATACCCAGGCACGCCGCAAGGAGGCCCAGGATCTGTTGCAGCGGCATGAAGCTGCTAGCATCGAAAGACTCAAGTTTTGGCACTTTGAACCCAATGGCGACGACGCGACACCGGAAGAGCAGCATAAGGAGTTCCTCTCCAAACTCGTGACACGGTTGTTGTATGCTTGCAACTACCAACGGTCCGAGTTAGAGAGACAGAACCAGGAACTGCATCAACAGTACCAGGATCTGAAGACACAGCACCAGGAGTTGGCGAACCTCCGCCGGATGGTGCAGAGCCACGAGGATGCTACACGGGCACTCAATTCCCGTGTACTGGACCTGGAGCAAGTTGTACCAGGACCAGATGCTGGTGAGTCCAGCAGTGCACCCTCTCACCGCCAACTGGAGCAACGCGTCGACCACGTCGTCGCAATGCTCGGCGACATCAGCACTTTCGCTGCGCCGACCACCATCAGCAATCAGTTGGATACTTTGAAGACCGAGGTCCAGCAACTGCAGTCGACGAACACGGATGGCAACAATCCAAAGCAATACAAGATGCCAACTTTTCAACTTGAGAAGTTCGACGACTACACGCATCAGGACCCGGTGCTCTGGTGGGAAGCTTTCACGACGCAACTTCGGATTCTGCCTGTCGCCAAGCACGCGTACATCGACGCCTTGTTCATGAACTCAAAGGGCGGATGCCAGATCTGGTTAACCCGCCTGGCAGCCACCCACGGCGTCGACGTCGCAGATTTGAAAGACAAGGTTACATGGGAAGAGTTAACACGGCTGTGGAAGAAGCGGTTCATCGTCGACGACACACCAGCACTCGCCATCAACCGTCTCTTCACCATGACTCAAGGCAACACAGCAACACGTGACAGGCTCACAGAATGGCAGAAGATCGCGGCAACGCCCGATGTTGACTTACCATTTCCACATCTGCGCCGTGAGTTTTACAACAGGTCATGCGCTGCATTGAGCCAGGCACTTGGTGATCGCGAGCAGTATGCAACCTTCGCTGAGATCATTGACAAGGCGAGGGAGATCATCAAGACCAACAGGGCGGCTGCACACGAGAAGTCAACGTGGCAGCCAACCTATGTGGAGAAGGTGAGAACTGGTCCACGATAGCACCAGTTCGCTGCAGTCCAATCGGACAACACTGTGGAAGACCCGGCAGCCACCCAAGCGTCACGTGAGGGAGATCAGGTGGCTGCTGTCCAGCCGTGAAGCAACAACAAACCCCGAGTGGACGGGAAGGCGAAACCAGCATTGCAGGCCGGAAACGGACAGCCAGCACCACCATGGGTCAAGTTCAACTTGACCAAGGCCGAGTACAAGTACCGCAACCGTTACGGTTGCTGTTACTGGTGCAATAGCACCAAGCACAAGACCTCCCTTTGCCAGGATCAGGCCAAGGAGGATGTGCGGCCTCGTCTTAGCTCGGGAAACTGAGTTTCGCGGGAGGTGAGGCGATTCCACCTCCCACTCCGCCAGATTCGGTCGCCTTGCTAGCGGCCTCCTACACATCTGGGGAGGATGCGAATGTCATAAGTTCTCGGTATTCTTACGAGGACTATGCTGTCCACTTGGTCCCACCGCTGGACCAACAGCTCCACGTGCAACAATCTACCACATGCACGGTTTCATCACCATCGGCAACCGATTCGGCAGCTTCGCCGCCATCTACTCGGGAATTCAACATCATGGTCAAGACTTGAAGAGCTCGACCCGTTGACATTTGCGAACTTCCAATGGATGCCCCTTCCCCGGTCCTGTCGATTGTCGAAACCTCATTGCAATGTGCTCAAGGCACAATTGCGGGATTACTTGCACACTGCAGTACCGACTCCGTTGATGGACGCCGGAGTAGAGGTTGTCAACCTTCACGCCTACATCGCGAAGATCGACCTCGAGTTCAAGACACAACGGTACGACGACATCGACGCACCATTGCTATATGTACGCATTCAGATCGGAGAGGCGACATGCAGCGCTTTGATCGATTGCGGAGCATCTCGCAACTACATGAATCAGGACTTCATGGTACGCGTCGGCCTTGGCCCACGAGTCCGAAGGAAGTCCTAGCCCACGCAAGTCACGTTGGCGGACGGTCACACGCACAAGTCAATCGACCGGTGCATTGATGACGTCCCAGTGTACTTTGCCCCTCATGCAAGTGAGGCGGTGTCCTTTGACATTCTGGACACCAAATTCGACATGATCTTGGGCATGTCATGGCTGCGAACCGAGGATCACCCGGTGAACTTCGATCGCCGCACCGTTCACGTTCGTGATCGGAACGGAGTACTAGTCCCATGCACGGTAGCTCCTCCTCACCCTTCAGTCAGCTGTCACGTGGTATCCGCCGCAAGAATGCGAGCTTCCATCATTAGAGACGACATCGAGGAGATGGGGGTGTGTTTTCTCCACGCCCTCCCGCCCCATGACGCTTCATCGACGGACTCTTCTTCGGATCCACGCATCATCGAGCTTCTCGACGCCTACGGCGACGTGTTCGAAGGCCTGCACGGAGTAGTACCGGATCAGCCCATCCGCCACGAGATCATCCTTGGGGACGGGGCCGTACCTCCGCGCGGTTGCATCTACCGAATGAGCGAGGAAGAGTTAAGGGTGCTTCGGGCACAACTCAACGACCTTCTGGAGAAAGGCAAGATTCGGCCTAGCTCATCGCCATACGGTGCTCCTGTTCTCTTTGTCCGGAAGAAGAACAAGTCTTTGCGGTTGTGCATCGATTATCGCAAGCTCCACGCGCAGACGATCAGAAACGCCGACCCTCTCCCACGCATCGACGACCTTCTCGAACGACTAGGCGGCGCCAAGTTCTTCTCCAAGCTGGACCTCAAGTCAGGATATCACCAACTCGAGATTCGGAAGGAGGATTGCTACAAGACCGCGTTTAAGACGCGATATGGGCATTTCGAATGGCTGGTTATGCCATTTGGCCTTACGAATGCCCCGACCACTTTCCAAGCGGCTATGACAACGGAGTTCCAACACAGGCTGGATCGATACGTACTTATCTACCTCGACGACATCCTGGTGTACAGCCGGAGTTTGGAGGAGCATGTGGAACACCTGCGCACCGTTTTGGAGCGGCTGCGACAAGCCAAGTACAAAGCCAACCGCGACAAGTGCGAATTCGCGCGGCAGGAGCTGGAGTACTTGGGACATTATGTGACGCCGCAAGGCATCCGTCCGCTTACGGACAAGATCGAGGCCCTACGAGTATGGCCCGAGCCCACCAACACCACGGACGTTCGTTCATTCATGGGATTGGCGGGCTACTATCAGCGATTCATCACCGGATACTCGAGGATTGCTGCACCTATGACGAGATTGCAATCGCTAAAGGTGCCATTCGTATTCGATGACGACGCACGCCAGTCATTCCAAGCACTTAAGACGGTCATGCTCATGGCACCCGTCCTTAGCATCTATGACCCCACCCTGCCGACAAGAGTGACTACAGACGCTTCCGGCGATGGCATTGGGGCAGTCTTGGAACAACACGACGGCGACGATTGGCACCCTGTGGAGTATTTCAGCCACAAAGTGCCTCCCATCAACTCGCTTGATGATGCAAGGAAGAAGGAGCTGCTCGCATTCGTCATGGTTCTCAAGAGCTGGCGGCACTTCCTCCTTGGGCATCGTAGGTTCACATGGGTTACGGACAACAATCCATTGACCTACTACATGACGCAGGATACGGTGAGCAGTACGATCGGACGATGGATGTACTTCATCGACCACTTTGACTTCACACCGAAACATCTTCCCGGCCTCTCAAATCGCGCAGCAGATGCACTCTCGCGAAGACCTGATCTTTGCGCTACGAGTCCGATCCATATTTCGCCACGCTATATGCGCAGCTATCTTCGGATCACCCACCGGCCAACCACTATTGCATCACTGATGGGTACTTTCTCCTGCATTCGCGGGGCAAGGACTTACTATGTGTCCCACGCTACCGCCGTCTTCGGACTCGCCTCCTCGGCGAGTATCATGATTCGCGACTCGCCGCGCTACTGCACGGCTTCGACAGCGATTCCGATGTCACCGATGTCACGAGGTATTGCGACTCTTGCGAAGTTTGCCGACGAAGCAAACCCCGCAACCGCAACCCCTACGGCGAGCTGCGCCAGATGCCGATCCCGCAGGAACCCGGTCTCTCCATTGCCATGGATGTCACCGGGCCATTCCCCCGCGACCGCCTAGGACACGACGGCATCCTCACGGTCGTGGACCGATTGAGTAAGTACGCGCGTTTTCTCCCTTGCAAGTACTACTCCACGGCTCCCGAGCTGGCACCCCTCCTGCACACCGGCTGGATTTGCAGCCATGGTGTACCGAAAGACAGTCAGCGACCGCGACACTCGCTTCTAGTCCGGCACGAAGATGAAGCCAAGTTCGGCTCGGCATCCACAGACAGACGGGCAGACGGAGCGGGCACATCAAACCGCTCAAATGATGCTTCGTACGCTCATCCGTCCGGACCAGAAAGATTGGGTTGAGCGCCTCCCCGACATCAAGTTCGCCTACAACACTTCGGTGCACCCGGCGATCGGCGTGACTCCATTCGAGTTGCACCACGGTGGACGGAAAGGCCGTATCTTCGCCGACCTTCTCCTCCCACGACCAGCCGACATCGATGCCGCTTGCTCTCCCGCTTCCGTCCGGAAGTACAGGGAATTGTTGGCTCACGCCCGCGCGAATATGCAAAAGGCTCAAGTCCGCATGCAGCAGCAAGCCAACAAGCATCGCGTGCCATGTCCCATCCGCGCCGGCGACCTGGTTTGGGTTTCCGCGGAAGAGTTTGCATTGGAACAGGAGGTTTCACGCAAACTGCTTCCCAAGTGGTTTGGACCATGGCCCGTAACATCAGCCGCGGGCGATGAGCCCAATGGCCCTTCATTTGTGATCAACATTTGCCCCCATCTGACGGTCCATCCAGTCTTTCACGCCTTAAAGCTGGCAACTTACACGCCAGCTAAGAGCGACGACTTTCCGGGCCGACGATCGCAGGACCCTCCTTCTATGGATGGTCATCAGGAAGTTGACCGCGTCATCACCGATCGCAAGTACGGCAGCAAGCTGCGACAGTACAAAGTGACATTCAAAGCCTGCGATCGCGACGACACTCGGTGGATTTCAGGAGCAGATTTGAAAGCATCCGCACCGCTGATCTATGCACATTATGAGAAGCAAAGGTTAGCTCAGGAAGTTTCACGACCAGCCCCTCCCACCCGGACTGTGGTCCCTCCCTCAGACAGACAGCTTCGCCCTCGCAGGTAAGCTCGATCTTTCAAGGAGGGGGGGGGGGTGGCATACTGCGTAGCCAAACGGGCCCTGCAGGGCCCGTCCCGCACTTTCAGCCTAAAAGCCTAGAAAATAGGGTTTACAAGCCCCGGTCGTTTCAGCCTGAAACTGAAAAACGAGGGTCTGCAGGCCCTATTCCGTTTTCAGCCTATTTTTCGGCCTTTCACGCCCAGAGGCTTTTTCAGCCTGGAACGGAGGGCCATTTTCAGGCCCTCATCGTTTCGACCGACCCTAGGACTCAGGCACAAAAACAGGGTTTTTGGAACAGGCTATCTTTAGCCTTTTCCCCACGACAGCTCGAGCAAGAGCTGCAGCTGCAGCCCCTGCCTCCCTTCGGCATTGGCAAGAGCAGCCTCCTGGATTGCCTCGCCTGCAGTCAGGAGGCACCCGGTAGTACATAGGAAGTTCCCATGCACTTCACGGGTAGGTAGTTGGACAGTAGGCACGAGTAGTCTTCAGGATTCAGCGCAGCACTCAGGAGGAGCGTTGCAGGGAGTAGCTTAGCACTAGCAGTAGTCTTCAGCGTTGGGCGCTAGTAGCCATAGGAGTAGTCTTCAGCGCTGGGCGCTAGTAGGTGGTAGATAGTAGAGTTGGGAGAGATGGCTGGTGGAGGCCAGCGAGACTTACCTGTGGCGCCATAGCTCCAGCTCCATCTTCGAAGTACCTGCATCTAGGCGCCAACTTCACAGGTTAGTACTGGACTGAGAGAGAGAGAGAGAGAGAGAGTTTTTCTTCCTCTTCTTCTAAGTCCACCATCTCTTCTTCCCCTCTCACCACCTGACTTCTCAGTATCAGCGGACTACTACAGAGAGAGAGTTGTGACTTGGGACTTGACGACATTGGATCCAGACTTGACATTTGGGATTCCGACATTTCGACGAGGGACTATTTGGGCCTGTGCCGAAGACTTGGTGTTGACGACATTTCCATCTTCCCCTCCTCTTCATCTAACCCCCTTCTTCTTCGTCTGTGTATGGTAGGGGCTGGCGCAGTCTTCCTGTGTGAAGCGCCAGACCCCATTCACACCATGTCACGATGACGATGATGTATGTTCAAAGCTGCATTGCAATATTGATTGTTCGGATCATTGGTATCTAAGTCTTCCGCTGTGCTATCTTGTACTTTGTATTGAGAGGTCGGTTCTTGTTCTGGTCTGCACCGTTACAGTATGCGACACACACACTTGGTTGTACGCAGGTATCCAGGCAGCATTTGGTCCAAGTGGAAGTTTGTAACTGTACAAGATCCAGGCCATCGACTGTGAGTCAATCTGAGCCATTGAACTTAAGAGACCAGAGGCTGGTCAACGACATCAACATTATTTATTGACCCAGCCCCATGGGGTCAACATTCAGTCTTGCACTCGCTGCTTGACATTGGCACGAAGCTGGTTGGACGCTGGCTTGACGATGGCAAGATGTTGGCACTACGCTGGCATTGTGCGACGACGACAGGAGGCTGCTGCTTTCGTGCTGGCGCCTCTCTGCTTTTGGCGCCAATTGTCTTCTTGGTTGTTGACGTGGCACTTGCCATGTTGTCTGCGACATTGTTGACGTGGCACTTGCCACGCTGTCTTTGGCATTGCTGACGTGGAGCATGCCAGACTGTCTTCAACTCAGATTGGGATTTTGACAAGGAGGGAGATCAGGAATTGTAGGATGGATTGAGCGAGAGAGAGAGGGAAACTTACCTATTGATGTTGTCGACAATGCGCGCTGCAGTGAAACGCTGAGACATCTTGTACTTCGACACGTAACGAGTTTCTCTCCTGACTAGGTTCAGTACAACTTGGTATCGGAGCTCACCTCCTTTCTCACGATCTGTTGTTGCGCGCTTGGATGCGCCACGGTAAGTACAGGGGGGTGTCGCGCATTGAATCGCGTCTATAGATGCACGGGATTATAATCACGATCTGGACATTGACACACGCGCGCGCACTTACCTGACGAAGATGATGATGTGGACTTGAAGAAGAAGACTGTGACATTGCTGACGTGGCGCACTATTGTTGAGGTGGCGATCGGACACCAGCGAAGAGCATCGTTGGTTGTGGCACTAACGTGGCGTTGGACGATCAAGTCGAGAGAGAGAGAGAGAGAGAGAGAGAGAGAGAGAGAGAGAGAGAGAGAGAGAGTCGGGGAAACTACAGGCATGGCATTCGGAGCGCTGATGTGGCATCCAGAATCAGCAGGGCATTGTCTGATGTGGCACTTACCTGTGTCGCGACATACCTGTTGACGTAGCGCTTCCAAACTCCAGCGGTATCTTCAGTACGACGTGGCATACAATGAGGAATGGGCTTGGCAAATTGTGCGTTGCTGACGTGGCATACCAGTTGATGGCCTTGCCGGCCATGGACGCTGATGTGGCATACTCCGTGGATGTGCTGCGTTAGCCAGACTGGGTGTGACACGTGGCAGGAGGGGTGCGCTGCCATTACCTTGAAGATTGGTGATCGACACTTGCACTTTGTGCATTGACGGGCGGTATGGCACTGGTTACATCGTAGTGCCACGTGTCAGTGCTGGTGCCTAGCACGAGTATCTATAGTGAGACAACACATTGATTGTTTGTGTTGTTGTAAGCTGACTCTACTCACCTGTCATGGGCGGTTCTTTGGATGCTTGCAACTCACCAACTGTGTTGTTGTCTTGATCACACTAGTCGTGGCTGCGGTACCTTATTTATTTCTTTTTATTTTTCTTTGCCGTGGAAAAGAAATCGAGGTGAGGCCGTGGAATTTTCTATTGTCTTTTTAAGTTTACTGTGCGACAAACTCACTTGTCAAAATGGCTTTTGTGTAGAATTGTCTACGTGTGTCCATTCCGACCCGCTTTATTTCCCATCTCTTCTACCCCAACCCCATCACTCTCTTTGCTGATGAAGAAGAGGTCGTGATGAGGACCCATGGCCAAATTGATGAACGACGGTAACTAATGTTGAACCGTCTTCGTACATTGCTCCAAGAAATGCAAGAACCTGGCCCCGAGGCTGGACAGCATGTACACAGCCTGTTCAACCTGCGCGCAACAGAAAACGAACTACAACAGGCTGAAAATGTTGTCCAGATGTTGGAAACCAGTGGAAGAGTGCAGCAAACTATTGATCAAGCAACCTCTCGATCACTTTGTTGCTAAGCAAGTTGAGAAGATGACAGGAAAAGAAGAGGCCAAAGAAGGAGGGAAGGTGGAAGCTTCTGAAAGAAAAGAAGAATTGACAGAAGAAATCATGCACGACACTATCAGACAACTGCAAAGTGCATTGGAAGCAGAATTCAAAAAGAGAGAAGCCTGTCAAAAGGAGAAGAGGGACAAAGAAAAAAAGGCAAAGAAAATAAAAGAAATTAGGCAAAAATTAAACGTGGAGGGTTCATAAGCTGACTCGGCATCAGTTTTACAGAATATGATGGCTTCCCTTGCCCACAGAAATCAAGACTGACAATGTCACTGCCGAACTGCAAATAGTGACAAGATTGGTAAAAGGACAGAACAAATTGGCCGAGGGGAAAGAAGACAGGAAGGAACCCCAGGAAAAGTTGATCAAGGATGCCATGAAGTCTTAGAAAGAACCTCAAACCTCAAAGAAAGAAGAACCGGCAAAGGAGCTGGCGAAGAAAGAACCCGAGCCTGCAAAAAAGAAAGAAAAGGTTAAAAGATGAAGCTTCCCTTTACATACAACGAAAAACGAGGGGAACATTTGTTGCTTTGGATTGCAGAAATCCAAACATATTTGCGAGAATTCTCAAAGGAATGGGTCTTGTATGAAGCCAATGCCGCTGGCTTTGAAGATATAGGTGAGTGGGCCAATACCATAACACGAAGGGAGTTTCTCCAAACGATCAAGGAGAGATTCCTTGACAAAACAACTTCTGACAAAACCTTTGATGAGCTCACTACAACCAGTCAAGCGCGTTGGACTACTGTGGATGCTTTGTCTCGCGAAGTGGATCGTTTGTTGCAGGTGCCCGGTTTGAATCTGCAAGATAACCAAGTCCTTTACATCTACTCTCGCGCGTTGCCCAAGCCTACCCGTGTATAGCTCGTGGCCGAAGCAAAATCCGATAAGTACAATTACAGGCAGTTTCATGACCTCGCGCACCAGAGAGAGCAAATGACCGCACATGTGAAAGGCACTTATGCATCCGTTGTACGAAGTGGACCGTCAGGTGGGTTCGGGAATGGAAAGAGGATCCTTAGAGGCAGAAGAGACATGATCACAGCCTCGTCGTCTTCGACGGCGACACAATGGAGAAGTGGCCCCTCGATGAGGCCGAGGGTGTAGTAAACCATGGTAGTGAGTCTGGGAAGGGTGACATCACTGCCATGGTGACAAACAAGGGTGGCACCAATTCGGGAGGATACAAGAAGAAGAGACCACGCTCCTTCCCGGAGCATCCCGACATTGCGCTCGGAAGGCATTGGGAGAAAATGAACCTCACACGAGAAAAGTGGCAAGAACTGATGAACAATCGGCACTGCAGGGCATATTACCGCATGGTGCCCCCTCATTCGTAACCCAGAAGGGAGCAGCCAATAGGAGTAGCATCTACTCCTACTGAGTTCGAGGGTTCATGAAAAGGTAAGGCGCCTAAAACCCATTTCAACCCCATAACTCGCATGGCAGAGGATGGCTCTTCTTCAGCCCATCGCTCAGCACACCCTAAAACTATTTTATATTTTGTCTCTCTGGCGATAACCTTGACGAACTTGGTGATGAGCTGAAAATTGTTGAGAGGTTTGTGGGGTAAGAAAGCGAAGTCTAAGGGTGAACTGATGATTGTTGACATTGAGATTGCACGTACACGAGTAGGTGCTTTGTTAGATCCTCGATCAAGGTGGTCCCACATTTCAGAAAAGGCAATAAAGAAATTGCATCTAGGAATGAGAGTCAGGACATTCCACGACCTATCACGTCTATACTTGCAGATAAAAGCACGATCACTGTCTCTCAATATGTTTGTCGCGTTAAATGT